TTGTTGTTTGGCGGGTCCGGGCTGGGGATTCGAACCCGCCACCTTAGGTGTACGTGGCTGGCGCCTTAGCCGGTTGAGCTATAGGCGCCGAGCCATGAAGTTTCCTTTATAGCTAAGGTGGCTAAATAATTTCATATTTGTTCCCTTCTTCTGTCAAACTCTTATTCCCATTTTTCTTTCTTTCTTTCTTTTTTTTTGGAGACAGTGTCTCTCACTCTGTCACCCTGGGTAGAGTGCCCTGGCGTCATCTCATAGCAACCTCAAAGTCTTGCTTAAGCCTCCCCAGTAGCTGGGGAGGAGCCCACCACATAGGAGCCCACCACAACACTGGTTAGTTTTTTTAGTTTTAGTAGAGAATTGGGTCTTGCTTTTGCTCAGGCTGGTCTCAAACTCCTGAGCTCTAGCAATCTACCTGTCTCACGTTCCCGGCGTGCTAGGATGACAGGTGTGAGCCACTGCGCCCAGCCTCTTATTCCCATTTAATTACTACTTGCATACCTTGAAAAAGTTAAGACCAGCACTGTATTTATTGTTTTAATTTCATCTATGTACTGCTTAAAATATAAATCAGGTTTTTATATAGGCTCATGGTTTTCTTTTGTAATTTTAGAGATGTGTCTGCTTTGAATTCTGTGGTTTATATTTGATTTCTAGTATAAATATTTTAGTATATAACTTCCCATTATTAAATAACGTACTTGGAGGCCAGGCACGGTGGCTTGCACTTATAATCTCAGCACTTTGGGAGGCCTTAGTTCAGGAGTTCAAGACCAGCCTGAGTAAGATACTGTCTCTAAAAAATAGCTGGGCATTGTGACACCTGTAGTCCCAGCTACTTGGGAGGTGGAGGCAAGAGGATCACTGAAGCCCAAGAGTCTGAGTGCTATGATGCCGTAGCACTCTATTGAGGGTGACAAAATGAGACTGTCTTCAAAAAAAAAAAAAAAAAATATATATATATATACACACACACACACACACTTTGGCTCTTACGTCGTTACCATTTCATCCCCTTTATCTATATGCTCCTGTGGTAAACATATTAAAATCTACTGTTTGCCATTTATAGCACCAGTGGTGGGCATACCCAGAATAAAATGCATGTCCTTGAAGCTATTATTTATTGAGGGAGACTGACATTCAGGAGTCATATTTTTCCTATTCTGTTCTTCATTATCTAGATGACTCTTTGTAATTTGTCTATTTAGAACAATGATCTTCAGATTTTTTTACTCATGTCCCCTAAGACAATTTTGAAAAACTATATATTCATTTGTACATGTTTAAATTGATAACTATACTATTTTAGCAAAAGTTTAAATAATGACCGTAGAATTTCTGGCATAGTGTAATATCTCAGTAAAATATATCACTTTTAAATTTACCTACTAGAATCTAAATGCCATTATTAATTAAAAAATACAAAAACAAACTTCTTTAATGATTATGTAGTTTATTTTTTCTTTGAACTTATGTTCTTTCTGGTTTCCCCCCTTGAATTTCTAATTATCAGACTCCTGTGCCACCATAATATGTAAATAAATTGAAATTTAAATGTTTTTCTTAGGACTGTAAAGCTTCAAGTGTTAGCAATATTTTCTGGTTTGAGTTATTTTTATATTTAATGCACAGTTGATTAGAATAACATACATAAATTAAGATTTTGATTAAATTCATGTTGTATGTAACAGAAGTCCATTCTTTCTTTTTTTTAAGACAGAGTCTCATTATGTTGCCTGGGGTAGAGTGCTGTGTCATTACAGCTCACAGCAACCTCAAACTCTTGGGCTTAAGTGATTCTCTTGCCTCAGCTTCCCAAGTAGCTGGGACTACAGGCGCCTGCCATGACGCCTAGCTATATTTTTTTTTTTTTTGGAGACAGAGCCTCAAGCTGTTTCCCTGGGTAGAGTGCTATGGCCTCACAGCTCATAGCAACCTCCGACTCCTGGGGTCAAGTGAGTCTTCTGCCTCAGCCTCCCAAGTAGCTGGGACCACACGCGCCCGCCACAACGCCTGGCTATTTTTTTGGTTGCAGCTGTCATTATTGTTTGGCCGGCCCGGGCTGGATTCAAACCCGCCACCTTAAGTGTATATAGCTGGCCCCTTAGCCACTTGAGCCATAGACGCTGAGCCCTGGCTATTTTTTTGTTGTAGTTGTCGTCGTTTAGCAGGCCTGGGCCAGGTTCGAACCTACCAGTGCCCTAAGCACTGAGTTACGGGCGCTGAGCCCAGAAATCCGTTCTTTAATGAAATGAATGGAGCTGTCTATATTCTTCCTTTAATAGTTCTTATATTTGGAAATGTATTATTGATAAAATGAAATGGAATTTGGTACCAAATCTGTTCCTATTTTTGAAGGTTTTAAATACTGAGAAGTAAATGTTCATGTAAGTAAGTTAATTCTAATGGAAGTTTTATGATGTCATAATCTTACATCAAAAGCCACCTAGAGATTTTATCATCACACATCCATCATTTGACAGTTCTGTTAGGTCCTCCTGCAATTTTATTGAAAGAACAGAAATGACATGATGTAATTTGCCAAAAAATTCTTTTTTTTTTTTTTTTTTTTTTTTTGAGACAGAGAGTGTCACTTTGTTGCCCTCGGTGGGTGTCCTGGCATCACAGCTCACAGCAACCTCCAACTCTTGGGCTTATGCAATTCTCTGCTCTCAGCCTCCCATGTAGCTGGGACTACAGGTGCCTGCCTGTAGGTAATCCCAGTGCTAGGATTACAGGCATGAGCCATGTGAGCCACTGGGCCCAACCTGCCAAAGAATTCTTTTTTTTTTTTTTTTTTT